CAAATGGTCTATTTCTCATCATTGATATCAGGGTTAGTGGGGAATATTGTTTCTATTGCTGTTTTCTGTTGCTGATGTGGTGGAAGTGGACATCAAAGCTCTGCTGACGTCTGTTCATTGTATAGTTATTAGGTTTAGGGAATCAGGTATTCTGAATCTTCACCTGCAGAGAATTTTAAGAAAACAACAATAGAGATCAGGGAGTTATTTGTTACACAATTAGTGAGTAGTGTGCACCCTTACTACATTGTTAAAACTTTGTTGTAATAAAATCTGATTATTATGTGCCTTTCAGGGCTTGAGAATGTGCTTCAACTCTGATCCTTTTTCATAGGCATCAAATGAATTAAAAAAGACATTCATATACGTTGTACACATATAATGGCTCAGCCTTTTAACAGACCTCTCTGAATCTCTCACTATCCAAATTTTTCACAATATTATTTAGATTTTGAAATATATAGTCATTTAAATCCACCTATCCATCATTGTCTATACTTGCTCATCCTTACAGGGTGTTTGGTGTTTGGTGCTCATTGTAGAGTGGTCAGTTCATTAAAGGGCAACACAGAGACATACGGAACAAGCAGCCAAACACAGACATCCGCTCATACCTAAGATCAATTTGAAGTGGACAATAAACCTATCATGCTGTATAACATTTACTTATCATTATGTGTCTAAGACACTAGGCTATATGTCTTAGGCCTAGTTCATACATAGTCAGGTCTTTTTAAAACGATGTAGCAGAAATATTCATTTCTATAAAATAATCTTGTCCACACCTGATCAGTTTAAGAAAAGTGTTAATCTACACAAACCCGTTGAATTACACCACGTAGCGTTGCTTTAAACATGCCAAACCCATAGGGAGCAGTGTAGAGCAAAGATAAAAACTATATTAGCAAAGCATAATCCTCCAAAACAACCACAACTTCCTGTTAGGAATTAAACATGCCACCAGGACATTACTTTGTGTGTGGACAGACAAAGAGGTTGAGCTACTTTTAAATACCGTGTTAAAATATAAAGTTTATAAAACACAAGACAGTATCAATTGAGAATCATGTAATAGAAAGTATGTGGACACATGTGGACATTAAACTGCATTGTGCCTCCACATTGGGAGAGATAGCTGGTATAAAACAATTTTTTTACAACTCAATTTTTTTGAGTTGTAAACTCAAAAAAATTGCAAAGGAGAAAGAGTTTATAAAAAAACAAATGCAACAAAGTAAAATTAGCACCTCTCTGATAGCAGGCATCTTTCTTCCACTACATGGTCAAACAATAACAATGGTCACATATGACATTATTTGTTCCAGACTGTAATGCACTGACCTCTAAATCTCCAGTTTAGAGGTCTTTTAATTTGTCTACACGCAAATGAAAATATTAGTATTCGCAAATCTTCACTTGAGCCAGAGGTTTTATCAACCTTTTTTAGTGCTATTAAACAGAAGTTACATGTGGATTAAAGGCCAAATTGCATAAAAATCTATTCAGTTTATCAGATATCTGGCTATGTGTGGATAACAAAGACCTAACAACTCGCTCTACCTTTTTCCAACTCAAGACCATGGCCTGAAATTTGGAGGCACTAATCCTCATCCCTGCGCCTTCATACTCGGCTGTGAAAGCTGTAGATCACAACCTGATAAAGCCAATAGGACCACATCATCTGCAGAAAGCAGAAACGCAACCCCAAGGTCAACAAAATGGATCCCCTTCAACACCTAGGCTGCGCCTGGAAATTCTGTCCAGAAACTTTATGAACAACATCTGTGACAAAGGACAGCCTCGGTAGAGTCCAACTCTTACTGGAATTGAGTCTGACAGTAAGTCAGGCTTGACACTGGTCATACAGGGACCTAACAGTCTGCAACTCAGACCCTTTGATTATCTCCTGCAGAGTACCCCCACAGGGTTCCCTAAGAGACACAGTCAAATGCCTTCTCTAAGTCTACAAAGCACATGTAGACTAGTTGGGCGAACTCCCACACACCTTCCAGGACCCTGCTGAGAGTGTAAAGCTGGTCCAACTGGACCGTCAACTGCACTGACAGGCTGCTGGTAGCAGCCTGTCAGTGCTGCTGGTAGCCTGTGATGCATGAATGGATTTATAAAGCTATTAAGAAATCATCCTAAGGTATTCTGGCACACATCTGCTCCTCGACTCCCCTTTGTCTTTACAGCAAATAGACACCAAGAGTGATTACAAGGCTTCTATGGCCATCAGCTTTAATTTAGTTCCCTGGAAAGGTTTCTCCTCATTGAATGGGAGGGAATCTGTGGGATCAAATGGATGAAGGTGACTGAGAATGTGACACAGCGGTTTCCACGACTGGGACGGAAACTACACTGCTCTTCCTAAATCCGAGGTTCGACTATCCGACGGACCCTCCTCTCCAGAACCCTTTAATAAGCCTTACCAGGGACTAAAACTAGTTCTCCTAGTTGTTGTTTTAGAGTGTGAAATTCTACCACATTCTGCGGAAGAATTTATAACACTTGAAGTTCAGGTGTCAATATATAAAATCCATCATCCTCTGACAGAAGCATTGTAAGTGTTGATTCATTGCTCTGACATTGGCGTTATCAAGAGTGTCATCGAAGGATTTTCACTGGGCCCACATAGAAAGATAAAACACTCACAATGATTCTGAACTGCAGGTGAATTGTCTCTTTTTGTCTCTTCTTATCTCTGTATTGACCTTGCTCAATGTCCCCCCAACGCCATCCCGCTCCTCAGAACTGATGACATGAGATAGTGTAAGGGCAGGGTAATTGGATCAAACTGACAGAAAATAGGCCAAGCAGTGCTTCCATGAGAAACAGATTAAACTTACTGGTCTCCTGTAGGCGGCATTGATTTAGCATCTGCTGACCTAATCACCAGAAGCAGAACTTCAGTCATGCATGTAATCAAGCATATCACCTCTATACTTGCTGAATAGTGTTTGGCTCCTTGTGTTGCTTCCAGAGAAGATCCATGTACCACTGTAAGGTTGCAGTTTTCCTGAACTCAATCTGGCATGGCAAATTGACAAGCAAGCAAATCTGAGGAAATTTGAAAGAGCAGACAGATTAATTTAAGGCCAATCATTCTTTTAAAGCTCAAATCAAGAGGGCATTCAAAGGTCCTTGGAGCTACACCACACAATATCCTCTAAGTGAAGCAGAGGTCAAAAGGGACACCTCCTCTAACTACATTATAATGTCATTGCCCATTTGTCAATGACAGGATACAGATAAGTTTCTGCTATTTGATCAACACAGTCATATATCTTCATGTAGAGCCTTGAATAAAAATTTTAATCACAGTACTATGTAAAAAAAAAAACCAACAACTTTGATCTTCCTTAGCCTCCATGCAAATAAAAAAAGGTCATTCACTTAAGGGTTTAACTTTTCATTTGCATTAGAATAACATGGCCCACACTGAGTCTACATAATGCATGGCAATTTGATTGGATAAACCTTAGAGTTTGTTAAGCAGCTTGAATTAAGACGGGTCTCTCTCACCCTCACCTCCCTCTAAAGTAGTACAACTCAAATCAGGTCAGGTTGTTTAATTGTAGACCAATCAACCTTTACTAATGTAATGTCGCTTTTATTTAACATGAATAAATGAGAAATCTCTCTGCTTGAGAAGTGGGCTGAGTGAGAGGCAGCACCAGAGCCAGTGTGGGCACGATGGGAATGAACCGTTTCATCTGCTGAATATTAATGTTCCTCCAAGATTATAGGGATTATTAGTTCTTTTCTCAGCTGACAATGGGGTTATTTTCAGAAGCCATCGATTAAATTGCTGAGGGAATTGCCTTTGATATGAGCATGCCCACATGAGGAGCTACTTTTAGAATCTGAATAGTTCTAATTCGAAGCCACTCCTCAATCACTTTTGTTATTTGTATTGAAAACACCTGAGAGATTCAGATGAGGATGCAGTTTTTGGAGGCTCTTTGTAGAAGTCCAACATCTTCTGTTCCCTTTAGGCCATTAAAAAGGGTGACAAAGATTAGGAACATTAAAATCAGTATAATGCAGTCCTTTGCCATAGCTCTGTTGTTTATACAGTAGAACCACCTTAATCAGCAATGACTTAAGTCAATCATCTTTATATGTACATGTATATTTCTCACATTCCTGTCATTAAATTTTGGACTACTGTCCTTCAGACTGCTGAATCGGTTCAATAAGGTTGACAAACGGTTTTCATTATAATGAAAATGACAACATTTTCATTGTAATGGAAGATAACTGGGTCATTACAATTTCCTGTTTTTTTTCTTTTTCAGATCCTCTGTTGCAGGTTTTGGGATCATTGTCCTGTTGAATCACCAAACTCCAGGCTTCAGCTGTTTGACAGATGGCTTCAGTTTTTACCTTTGTGTTATTTGCCTCTCAAAGGGAAATAAGATTGACTTTTTTTAGCTGAAAACCATACAAACAGACCCCAAATCTTAAAGCTTTGAATACCATGTTTGAGATTTGGTATTATGTATTAGGAGTTTGGCTTTCACCAAACACAACATGGTATTGTCTGTTATGAAAAATGTATCAATTTTATTCATTTCCATTCAGCAGAAGTCTAATGTTTTCTTGTCTGATTTTGGCACAACACAGCATAAGATTAAGTCTTTTGCCATATTTTGAGATTTTATTTTACCACCAGATTCAAACAGTGAATCTGGTGGTAAAAAATAGATGTCAACATAGCACATGCCCAAACCTGAAACTCCTTCTATACTACAAGTGTGAATGTTAATCAGATTATAGTCAATTTAATAAACTCTGTATTTTTTTTTATTTTTTATTTTTTGCTGTATTTACATAAAAGCATAGAAGTGTATTTTTAACTAGCTAACCAATATTTTGTCTTCATTTTTCCCCAGATGGAATGGCTATACCTACTCTCTTTTACCATACAGTACATGTCCAGTTGTTGGTGCAGCTACACTGAACATTGTTTGTGTGCTCTCTGTTAATCATCACAGGTTTAGTCCCTACGAGTGGTATAACCCCCATCCCTGCAACCCTGACTCTGATGTAGTGGAAAACAATTTCACGCTGCTTAATAGTTTCTGGTTCGGAGTTGGAGCTCTCATGCAGCAAGGTAGACGCCTCTGCCTGCTCCTCCTTTTCTAGAACATGTCCCACTTTTTTGCTGGGGGTCAAGCATTCTCTGAAACAGGCCCATGATCATGCATGGGGGCCTCTGTGCATGTAGTTACATGCTCTATAGGTTGTCCAGCAAAACGGATTAAGTGGAATGAAAGTAATGCAAACAATAAATTGGTATGGTGCTGCTGCATGTTTCCCAACTGCATTTGACTTTGACTTAGAATTACTGCTTTCCTTTCACTTCCCTATCTATCCTAAGCCACACAGTCAGGTAAGTGCACATACACAAAGTATTATACAGAGTGTGTACAGAGTATTGGAGTGGGATCAAATGGATGAAGGTGACTGAGAATGTGACACAGCTTTCTAAACAAAGATATGACCAAATAATTTGCTATCTTAAAACAGAACGGTTTACGATGTACTGGGCAAGTAATCATACAAATTACAGGGCATGAATCTTTGTCAAATGTGGCATTCTTTCAAATTGTATTTGATTCAAAGTAGTTTCAATATATTAAGAATCAGCAGCAAATCTGAGAGTTCAGTAAAGGAAGTTACTAATCTGACAGGTTATAATAATCAGACCTGTAACAATACTGTAATAATGATTTTAAATGTGTTCCGTAAATGTTTAGGTAAGCGTTTCTTACTTCTTGTATGAGGCACTTGAAAAGAATTATATTGCTTGAGTATAATAATAATAATAATAATAATAATAATAATAATAATAATTTTTCACTCATTTTTTTACTACTGCTTTTCAGGCTACTGAAACAGCTACACATAATTCTGGCTTAATTAAAGGATTTTTTTGTTTGTTTTATTATAGCTAGGCAAGGTATCTTACTTAGATATCAAAAACCAGTTGCTCATTTGTCAAAATGAGCAACTGGCTCGTTGGACTTCTGCTGTCCAAGGAGCCAGTTTTACCCTCAGTCATGCAAAATAAGTCGTTTAGAGCTGCAAATGTTATATCTCTTGGGGGGAAATAAATACAACAATGCTAATAATTTCTGATAACTATCTACTCTAGGAAAAATGTCATTTTTAAAGAAGCATCATTTTAATTTTGTGCTATTTTAATTTTTCTTTTTGATTACATTAAAATAAGAAAAAGTAACACTTTTGCAAAAAGATGGATGATATTTGTGGAAAATATGTAAAAATAAATAAATGCAGAGTTACCAACCTAATGACAAGAAAAATACATATAAAAGTATCTTTAATGTAATTTTGATCAATTTCATTCAATGCAATTGCTCCATGAAATTTTTTTTAAAACTACTAAAATGTGCATTTTCTGTTAAACCTATATTTAAAAACAGAAATTGGTTATTTGTCATTTTTAGTCAAAGTTATTAAGAGCCATTATGAAAAGTCCAAAGAACCACTTGTGGCCCTGGGTCTAAGGCCCAGACTCCTAGGTGAAGATTTGCAAACATTTATAGAGGTTATTAAAATCATCACATGATTCCTAACTAAAATCACTGTGAACATGTTCCACGAGTGTATTAGTGATGCAATATTGTGCAACCCCTCTCCATCAACAGTAAAGGAATAATTAAAGTTAGAATTACAATAATGTTCTGCATTAATCCAATTCTGCAATAGTGATGTGGATATATGTTTTAGCTGTGGCGTTACATCCATACTAATGCCACAGCATTTCTATTTTATTCACAGTAGTGATTAAATTAAATGAAAACTTTGACCTAATTGGTTAAGAAGCTATGTTTGAGAAGCAGAAGGTTGTGGAAATAGGCTGGACAAGCATTAATTGATCTACAACGTAGAGAGACTCCCCTGTGTGGTGGCTTGCTATTCCCCCAGAAATCTGTGGGACGTGCTGTTTGGTCTTGACGTTACCTTGGGTACATGACAGTCAGCCCCAACCAGGTACTGTTTGGATCCGACCTCTCCAAACTGGCTGTGGTTCATTTTCTGCTGAGGTTTCTGAGGATAAGGAACCAAAGGATGGTAACATGTTCCAGTTTGAACTGTCTACTAGCTGTGCTTGCAACGGAACATGCTAAGAAAATGTCAAGTTCTAGTCCAATCCTGTTTGTTACTTTGATCTTTTCTTTTTATTTGGGTAAAAACAGTGGGCACAGTGGGTCGTTGATGGTGATGTTGGGTAACTTTAATTGTAGTAACACTTTATTTCAAACCAGATAAAGACATGCATTCATTCCACTTAACTATTACACTCTAATGAGAATGAATGCTTGGGGCAACTTAATTTTTTGCCATGGGGCCCAAGATTCCTGGTGGTGCCCCTGCATAAAGTTTCACTAACCTAAATCAATTTCAAATTATTCATATTAATTTCAAAAATACTTTATTCCAAAATAAATTAAATGCATATCACATAACTCATATAATCAACATATCTTCAAAGACTTGTTGTGATGTTGTGGGCAGGAAGGTTCTCTGAAAGCAGCCTTGCAACAAATCTGAAGAGACCCCTGACCGAAGACTTCAGCATGTCATGACAATGTAATGACTGTCATGACATGCTAAAAGCTTAATTTCTAGGCAGCAGAGACAAGATTTCACAGTAGCATGTCCTGGATGATATTATCAGTTGTTGGCAAGCACTGCTAATCCACCTCATTTGCTTTTGATGCTCCTCTTTAAATCTCTGTCTGGCTGTGTTGTGAGAGAGCCGGACAGAAAGACTTTGGATTACAATCAACAGATGTTTTAACATTTTCCTTTTCTTTCTGCTCTTCGGCCCTGCTCTGGATCCATCAAGCTTCATTTTCACCTACTTTGGGATTTGGGGACAAAGTTACTCTTTGGGATGAGCTGTGAGATGTTATAAAGGCTGTACAGACAACAAAAGACTGCCTCATTACAGATGCCATTACTTTTGTGGAAAGTCAAGACAAAATCTATACAATACAATTCAAAAATATTTTAATGATCCCAAAGGGAAATTAAATAAAGTTTTCTGTATACAGTTGAGTAGAAACACAAAAAAGATTAGTTTACTAACGAGACCTCACAAAAGCCTTCAGAACTTTGTAGAATTTCTGAGAACAGAGTGTGTTATGGCC